GGCACAGTGGTGACAAAGGAAGGGAGCAAGCCCCTGAAGGCACAGATGTGTTCCTGTGTTCTAGGCTTTGAACCTTGTCCCCATTGTCCTCAGTTCTGGGCCTCTCAGTACAATTGCCTGCCTCTGCAGCAACCAGTGAAATCCTTTAAAAAAGACTTTCTTTGCACACAGGAAGGAAATTCAGAGTCCAGCAGGCCCTTCCCAGAATCCCAGGAGAACATCTTGAAAATACAGAGAAAATGTTAAACACAGCATTCATCAAAGCCACAATGACTAACAGTTCTGGAGAAATCCAGATTTTGCTAACAACAATATGTTAAAGCCTTTTATTATTTAGTTACATCTTGCCTGAGCATGAAAAAGATATAAACATACCATCAGATTACTGGGATATAACCCAAAATAACTTACAGTTTTCTTATTTTACTAATTATTTTTCTGAGGCTGGATCAAGTTGGTAAGAGAGATTTCAAGGCTTTCACCAGATTATTTACTCAAAGAAGTTAAGCATGTCATTATCTGTTCCCATGGAAACACAGGAAGTACTACAGGAGATGGAGAAGGTCACTTTGACCATAATTCATATAAAGAATAAGTTTATATAGAATCTAGTAAAGAACACAACAACGTGCTGTATAATATCTTTAAACCTTTTCTTCATTAGTGAAATTTAATCTCTGTATCAACTTTCATATATTAGTGTCACTTTGATAGTTTCTTAATTAATTTTTGAAATGTACCATAATTTTGTTAGCAAAAATTTCAGTGTTTTTATTTCACTTTTGATTCAGTCAGAAAATTCCCATGTCCAAAAATTTTTTAAAGTATTGAGCAAGTATAACTGCATGGCTGCCTTGGCCTTACCCTCTGTTAATTTGCTATAGCTCCTTTCATGGTTTCTCAGTAAGTGGTTGAGTTAATTGATAATAACCAAAGGCACCACTAGATTCATCAGTGCTTTAATATTTACCAGACATTTAATTATGTTCAATACAGTTTACATTTAGGATGTCTTGTGTTTCTTTTCATGTTGAAAATTGGTAATCCACATGAGATGTCTCTTAGCTAAATATTCCTTTTATTGGCATACAGTGTACTCCTTGGAGATTCTTATCCAAAGATTCATGCTGTACTTTTTTCAATCCTTATACTTATTTGACTAGTGGATTTCTTTATTTAATCTCTTAAGGGTAGCTTTTATCATGGATGCTTGATGACACATGTATCAAAACTATTTAATACAGTATCCTTGAAAGAACTAAAGAGAACAAAAAAGAGTGGATATGTCAAATTTCTGGATTTTAACACCTAGAGAAATCCCACAAGGTCAGACATTATTAGGATTTTGTTTCTTTTAGAGATTTCACCAGGAAACATAACATAACTTATTCTAGGTGGCCTTGTGAGGAGGGTGAATTCAGGGCAGCAGCACGATGCTGAATAATATTTACAAACAGGTGGCCTAAAGTTAAGTGGAGTCAATATACAATTTCTCACCTTTTAGAAGATAACCACTTTTCTGCCACATGAATGACCAAGTTTTTTTGTCAATATCAAGCTTGAAATTATTTAATCAAGAATGTAAATCAGTTATATGCCCCAATTATAAAAATTGTGATGAAATTGGTTATGGTATTGATTTTCTTTGGCAGAGAGAATTCTCATTCTCATTCTTTCTCCCCTGCTCCTCTTTCTTTCCTATAGTGATATCATTCCTATTCCAGGAGTGCAAACAGCATTATATCCTGCTTGGCGAGTACAGTGGTCATTTGGCTTAGACAAGAATGAGAATTCTCAGTAGTACCATTCTACGAGTATATAAGAGAGCCCCTAAAATAATGGGTGGTGCACTCTCCTATATGTATTTATGTTTAGATAATTTATTTAAATAATGTTGCTGGCACAGGCTTTATAGCTCCTGCATTTTGCTACACAGATTTCAGCATATCTTGCAGACTATGCAATTCATTTGGAAAATGTAATTTCCATCCCTGCATACTAATCGATTTCTTCACAAACACCTGCTATCAGTTATGATAATAAAAATGCCACTCTGAATTGAAAAGGGGCCAAATAGAGCTTCCTAAGGAAATGACTTAAGTGTCTTTGAATGTTACTAAATGTAGTAATGCGCTTGTGTAGTGCCAACACTTTTTTCATCATTTGCATTTTCTGTGATTTTTTTTTTCCTGTTACAACATCCCTCTTTCAAATGGTGCCTCATATCAGTTTCCCTGTGGATTGGTGAATGGAGATGTCAGGAGTTGGTATCTCAGAATGTAGGCAAGATTTGAGTTGGACTGCACAATGTTAAAAAGCACCAGCTCGTGCCCCTGGGGCTGCCCTGGGTCACTTCCCATTTAAAAGTTCCTGAAAACTGTAAAATTGGCTGCTCCTTGGCTTTGCACACACATATACACCAAATAAAATTTCCTTTATTCATTCTCTTCAGCCTCCAGTTCATTCCACACACCATTGCCAAACTAATCTTTCTCAATCCCCAGTTGCACTGTGTCCTTCCACTTCCCCAAGCACCATCAGTGGTTCTTGGTCTCACCGCTGAGCCTCTCCTTCCACATCCTCTCTCAGCCCTTGGCTCACCTTTCGCAGCTTGCAGGAAATCACTTGCCTTGTGGTGAAGTTTCTCTCCTTCCTGCCCTGAATATCTCACCTATAATAGTAGTCTCTTGGCTTCGGCTTCTGCTTTTTCTCCTAAATGAGGCATCCTCCTCCACTTCTTGGGGTTTTCATCTTTCAAAGCCCTCTTTTCCTCTGCCAGTCTGCATTTTTCTGCTATAAACTGTTTTAAAATACATTCCTTTGTCATATACATTAGCACTAGCTTGCTGATTTATTCATTCAAACATTTATTGAATACCCACTCTAAGCCAGGCATTGTGTTCTTTCTTCCTCTGAATGCAGTTTCCTTTTAAATGTGTCAATTTCTATTAGATTTTTTAAATCTTTTTAATGAGAAAATAAAACAAATTTTCACCAACACATAAACTAGAAACAGATACAAAAAAGAAACAGAAAATAACACAAACTTTATTTTCAATGAACTGAGATAAACTATTATTGTAAATAAAATAAATTAGAACATATATTGTAATTTTTTAAAAAACAACCGAATATGTAATTTGGGGAAGTATTTGCGTTTAAGTTCCTTGAGACAAAAATAAATTAGAACATGTATTATAATTTTTTAAAAAACAACCAAATGTGTAATTTGGGGAAGTATTTGCTTTTAAGTTCCTTGAGAGAAACTCATTTTGTGATCCAGGATGCCTGACAGACCTTGGCCTAGGGAAGTATATAGTTAAATGCTTGTTAAGTAATTGATCCCAAATGGCTTGAGGTAGGGAATATTTTGGTTAATAGCACTGTTTGATTAGTATTTCAGACCGTACTATACGTAGATTATCACTTTGCAAAGTGAAAACCATGAAACACTTAAAACTATTATTAATATAATTTGATATTTGATATTTGGGGAGCAATTCCCTGAGCTCTGAGCCCCTCAGCACAGCTCTGCAACAACTGTACTGCAGTGTTCAGGTGAAGCATCAGAAAGCATAACCTCCGCGTGACCCTAGGATGTGGCAGCAGGGGCAGGCACTGAGACGACATGTGTCGAGAGCCTGATGCACAGTGGACTCCCTTACATCTATGAAGAAACTTCTAGTAGATTTTCAAATATTCTTTCGCTCTTCTCTTGCTTACAAAAATGAAGAATGCCTTTTGTGAGAGGGAAAAACGAGTGATGGGACACATGGGAGAGGAGTGAGGAGAATGAGAGGTCGGTTTTGAGCAGTTGGTGAAAACGGACACACTGCAACTGACCTGGTATAATGCTTGAAGTCCTGGCTTTACAAACTGCTTCTGCTGCTTACTTTGCATGGTTGAACAAGCTATCTATGTTCTTTGTGCCTGATTTCTCTCATCTGTAAAAATGGGGATTAAAGCACCTGCATCCTAAACTTGTTGGGAAGATTCAGTGTGTCGGTTTAGAAAGTGCTCTTGATCTAGTTAGTCCTTGGTGCTTTGTGAGTATCCATCTCACCGTTAGTCGTAGTGATGGTGCTAGTGGTAGTCCTGAGGAGACCAGGAAGCCAGAAAGTAGAAGCTATGGAAAGGGATTTCCTCTTCAGTCTTTACTTTGTACCAGTCAGTCTTCTGCTTTATTCATTTCCTTCAGTTTCTGAAGCCTTGAGATGTGTAAGACCCTTTATAAACTGTCTTGGTTTCCCAGAAAGATGGAGACATAAATGAAGACTGATCTACCCAGAGAGAATTTCAGGTTTCAGGGAGGAGTAGAGTAACTACTCAGCCTTGTAGGGAAAAGCAGTTTTAATCTGTTGGTGAAACAGATGGAATTGGGTTGCCTTCTGATAAGAGTTAGAGAAAACAATTTGTGCAATTTATCCCAGCAATAGAGCAGGAAGGAATAGTGTGCATATAAATTCCTCTCTCCCCTGAGAGGCTGCTGCATGCCTCAACCTGTGGAACAGCTGATTATTTGAAAGAAAGTGGCACTCCAAGGAGCTGAGCAATCCTGAGAATAAGAAGGGACAGTAAAGGGATAAATCTGATTATTGCCTAGAATTCTGAATAGCTTCAGCCCCCAGCAGCACAGATCAGTTTGAGTGAAGGTATCTAGAGTTGGGGGAAAGGTCAGGAGATAGGAATTTGGAAAGAGTTAATCCTGTCTCCACAACAAGCGTTCATACATAAAATTGAACAGACAGAGAAAAGTCAAGAAGAGGGGTTGGTGACAGGCGGCACAGTGGTAGAGCACTTCTCTAGCAAGGTTCTGTCCCCAGTACTGCAAAAACAAACAATTCTAAATAATGTCATGCACTGCCAAATAAAGCCTGTGGGTAGGTTATTTTACTTTAGTTGAAATGAATATTATGGGTGGAGGTAAGAGGTGCCATTTCCCACCAGATGCCTCCTCCTTCTAAGGTCGCTCACTTAGATTCTCTCTGTTTGTCCTTCAGCCCTGGCTGCTCAGGCCTATGCTCTTAAGGAAGAGAATGACAGTCTCCGTTGGCAACTGGATGCCTACAGGAATGAGGTGGAGTTGCTGAAACAGGAAAAAGAACAGCTTTTCAGAACAGAAGAAAACCTCACCAAGGACCAGCAACTCCAGTTCCTGCAGCAAACCATGCAAGGCATGCAGCAGGTACCAGCCTACATGTGGAGATTGTGTGTGTGTGTGTGTGTGTGTGTGTGTGTGTGTGTGTGTGTGTGTGTGTGTACTGAGCTAAAGAAAGTGATATGTGTATTCAGTAGAAGTAAAATGACAGCCATTTGCCAGAAAGGGTGAAGGAGAAATGATAAACAGAACATTAAGCTCATAGAAAGTGCTTGTGACTATAGAAGACCAGAATCTGGAGAACAGTCAAGCTAAATAAATACGTTGCAAAAATACACTCTGAGAATAGGACATAAAGGGAGCGAATTTTGGAGATTAAACAGTAATGTGTGAAAAAACCTCATAGCACATGGTCAGCAAATCCTCACTTATCACAGCACAAGTTTTAATTTTTATAATCATAAAAATTTTAAGTTTGAAGCATGACAGCTGACTTTCACAAACACAGTTTGTTTTGTTTTCAAGATCAGTGTAAATATAAATCATATTGCTTCCACTTCTGAATTACATTTAGTGTCTAGTTAGATGTAAGAAATGTTTGTTGATAGAATGGATGAAGCCCCAGAGCCAGGCCCAAGCAATCTCAGAAATGGGGAAAACATTGTGCTTTTGTTGAAGAGTGCCACCCTGTCATACTGAATCTAAAGCTGTGTATTTACAGCAGTTATTTAAAAAGAGATGAAGCTGTGGACTTTGGAATGGCAAAAATGTATGTGCAAGTGGGCAATAAGAAGATGAAGAGAGAGGAAAGTCTGTGTGTTGGCAGAGGGGTAAGAGACTCAAAGATTCATAGCTGAATTCATATCTGAGAACATCAGTTGATACATGATATTCTTAAAGTGTCTGGGCCTTTGGTGTATCTTAGAATAATATAGCATCATTGTCACATGTGGGTATTCTTTAAATTATGCCTCTGAATATACAAATCCCACCAATATTTTGTGGAAAAGATTACTTTTGTTTAAACAAGAGAAATATAAGTAAGATGATAGGAAGCTAAAATATACACTGACTAGGATATTTTTTAAATCTTGCCTGTCCATATTGGCTTCTCACTAAGACCAAGAGCATGAACTGCCTACAAAAACTGTTTTAGTGATTAGGAGTAACTGCCACAGAAACATAAGCCGAACAGGGAAAATAATTGAAAGGGAAGGATATAAAAAAGAATCACAAATTGGGAAGTGAGCAAGTTAATGGTTAGGTCACAGAAATTATGTCTTGAACATCTCGCCATTTTAAAGTAATTTTTGAGTCTTGGCTCTGAGTCCTAACTGGTTGATGTTCACAGTGTGTTAGACTAATCAGTGAAATTCAGAGATCAGAGCCAGCCAGGAAAATGTCATTACAGTCACTGCTCAGGTCCCTGCACTTGGAAACTGATGTAACAGCTGCTATGTGAGGCTCCTGAGGTTGTCCATATGCCCCAATATGGAATATGAGGGGAGCCCTTGCCAGCATAAGAGTCTGTAGATTTCTCCAAAGAAAAGATTACTCCAATTGCTTTAAGAGTAGATAAAGCTTTTAAGCATGTTGAAGATTGAAATCTAGAAGAAATTGGAGGAGGCAAGGAGGTGTTGTTCAGTTAGGAAGGTGCACCCTGGGGCATCAGCACAGGGAGGAGCTGAGCCATACCCAGTCCACAAAGGGTAATATTAAGAAAACTCAGCTGGTCTGGGCATTTAGCTCAGTGGTGCCGCAAGCATTAGGCATGGGGAAAAAAGAAAAGAAAAGAGAACAGCCTTCTGAAGGAGTGATTCTGTTGATGGAGCATCTCATTCATTTGCAGAACTTCCTTGTCAATAGGAAATGTACTTTCAGAGAGGTTTTTTGTTTGTTTTGGGGTTTTGGGGGGGGTTGTTTTGTTTGTTTGTTTTGCTTATTTTTATGGAATCATTTGGTTTAGTTTCAAAAAGTAGAAATTTATTGTCTCACAATTCTGTTATATAAGTTCTGCGTGCTAACTGGAGCTCCTGCCTCACAATTCTGAAAACAAGTTCAAGATCTAGTTGTTGGCAGAGCTGATTCCTTTGGAAGCTGTAAGGAAGAATCTGTTCTTTGCTTCTTTCCCAGCTTCTGATGGGCTTCAGTCAATCTTTGGCCTTCCTTGTAGTCACATCTCCTTGCTCTTTGCTCTCATTTTCACAGCAAGTTTTTGCTAAGTATATATGTTCAAATTTCTGCTTTTATAAGAACATTGCTCATAGAGGACTAGGAGTCCACCCTACTCCAGTATGATCTCATCTTAGCTAATTATATCTGCAGTGATCTTTTTTTTTTTTTTTCAAATAATACCATATTCTGTGGTGCAGAGGAATTGGACTTCAATATATGGATTTGAGGGAGACATGGAATAATCCATAACAAAAAGATCATAATGAAAAATGTGTTATTGAAGGAAGGAATGATGACAGAAAGTCTAGAGAAAAACCTAGCATGGTCCCTGTGGGAGCTGTGGATCATATGGGATCTTTGCATCAAGAAGGGACTGGTGAGAACTGACACTTGGGGTGTGTGCAGTGCCCCTTTAGAACATAAAGGTACTCAATTTGTGGCATGTGTTGTTGTTTTAATTTTTAATGAATGTTAGGCCAATATATGCTATCTTTGTAGCAATACATCCTGAATATAGCTTTAAATTATAAGTGTTACTTAAGAATCATATTTTTGCTATGTCTCTTATGTTAATAATCTATCACAACTTGCTCCTTTGAATCTTACCACTAGGAATTCTGATTTTAAAACATTCTCAACCTACTCCATATCTACTTTGGAAATCATGGTCTCACAGGACAGTCAAGGAAGAGGGAATGGGCCTCTTTTTGCAGCTTTCATCACTGTAAAAAGTGTCTGAGATAAATTAACTTATATGGAGGAAAGATTCATTTGGTACATGGTTGCTTGGCTCTGTTCCTTTTGGGCCTGTGGTGAGAGAGAATCATGGTGGGGAACACATGGAGGAGAAAAGCTGCTCACCTCACAGCAGCCAAGAAGCAAAAAAAGAAGGGACTGGAATCCCAATATCTCCTTCAAGGGCACACCCCAGTGACTTCACTTCCTCTAATTTAGTACCACCTCATAGAGCAGTGGTGGCAAACCTATGGCATTCATGCCACAACAGGTTGTTTGTTACCACTGAAAGCTCTAAAAGGTTCACCATCATTGTCTTACAGGTTCTACCACCTTCGAAAAGTGCCACCAGAAGGCAACCAAGCTTTTAGGATATGGGCCTTTGAGAACATTTAATCAAACTGTAACACTCCCATAGGTCCGTCGTTTCCTCACTCCATCTACAGTGGAAAATTATTTCCATAGAAAAATAAAGAGGTTTAATGAACTTAAAAACTAGCAATTTTTGGAATTTCTTTCTAGTTTAGTAAAAAAGTCTAATCCCTTACAGATATGCTCACTGATTTCCCACAATTTCTCACATGTTCATGAAGAAAACACCATGGGCAAGGTTCCTAAAAGTGAAAATAACATGACACCTAAAATTAAGGAGGAAAGGTTTATTTTAGCTTACAGTTCATAGAGATCTCAGTCCATAGTTGGCTGGCTCCAAGGCAAGGTGGCATGGCAGAGGAGCATCGCAGGGCGGGAAGGAGGCCACAGAAGACAAGCAGCAGCAATAGAAGCAGAAGGAGCAATCGAAAAGTGACAGTAGCAGCTTCTTTCTGTCCTTTCTGCCAAACCAATTGGACTAATTTAGTAAACCACACCCTTAATCCTAGCGTCCCACTCTGAACCAATCTCAACATCACATTCTTGATCTCAGCATCACCCACCCTACCCAGCCACCTCCAAAAAGCTCCACTTATGATACGGAAGGCTTTGGGGGAACATCTAGATACAAGCCATAACAGATGAACAGAAACTAACCTGTCTCTATCTAGGGGGACAGTTCTATTATTTTACTTTACTTGTATCTTTAGGTATACAAAGAAACTGTATTTTAAGCTCTTGTTTATCTTCAGATTACCACGGTTAGTTGTTTTGTTGGGGTTATTAAAGTAAAAACTACATATGATAAAATTTCTTTTTTTTAGGTGAACAGTTCTATGAATTTTGACAAAGGCATGTAATCATGCAGACACCATTATCACAAACAGTAACTCAGTTCCATCACTGGCCTCTCAGGTTCCTTTTTAGTCAACCTCACTCCAATGAACCACTGATCTGTGTTCTACCCTTCTAGTTTGGCCATTTCCAGCATGTCAAAAACAAGGGATCATTCAGTATGTAACTTGTTGAGTCTAGGTCCTTTCACTTAACATAATTAGAGATTCGTCCACGTTGCTGTATATATAAGTCATTTATTCCTTTTTTTACGCCAAGTAGTAGTCCGTTATAAGTAAAAAGTATAGTTTATCTAGTTACCAGTTCATGAACATTTGGGTAGTTTTCAGTTTGGGTCAAATATGAGTAAATCTCCTAAAAATATTCATTTATCACCTTTTTGTTTAGACACAATTTTCATTTCACTTGGGTAAATGCCTAGAAGTAAATATGATCATGATTATTTGGTAAGCATGTTTAACTTTTAAAGAAAATTTCCAGCTGTTTTCTAAAGTATCCATACTTTGTATAATCCTGTGGGGCTATAGGAGAATTACGGCTGTTCTACAGCCTCATCCGTCTGCACTTGGTGAGGTTGATTTGTTTTGTCGTTTTTAGCCAAAATAGTAAGTGGAGTGGCATCTCATTATGGTTTTGCCCAAACCTAAATTTAAATAATATTTTTATTTTCATTCATGAGGATAGATCAAAATGTCGTATTTTAAATAACAAATTTAAAAATCAGAATTATTTTTCCAGGGACAGATTATATATACATTTTTTAAGTTAGTGCATGTTTATAGCACGTGCAGTTTATAGTCATCTTGGGGAGTGGACACATGTACATAACACCTTGTTTTTTCTTTTAATCCCCTTTCCTTCTCTCCTGTTTCATCCCTCTTCCTCTCATTCCCTTTTCCAAAACAAGTTAGAATTATTTTTGAAGCCTATACAAATCATATTGACAGGAC